TTATTTTGAAATGTAAGTCAATAACAATTGGCTGGAGCCAGAGCCAATGGTGAAAGTCTTTTCGCGAGGAGACCCCGCCCCATTTTGGAGGTTCTGCCCACTTTTGGAGTTCACGCCCCATTTTGGAGATCTCCGGTCTGCAGTTATATCTACTTGGAGTCCCAACCTTCCGATACTGCATGATGTTAGAAGCTTCAAACGTCATCAATCACGTGATGTTGTCATTTCGATACAAGCATCGGCACAGTGTGTGATACAATAATGCTTAGGGATGGGCGATACCTCTTATTTTATTTTCGATCCGATACCGTTATTTTCAAGCCCAGTATCGCCGATATCGATACCGATACCTACATTTGTGAGACTTTTTGAGTAAACAAGTAGTACGCTATAGCACAGTTTTTGCCATAAGACTAAACATTAACTCTCTACTTGGTTTCTTATTTAATAACCCTTTTTCATCATACCGCTAATGATGTAAAAATGTATGATGTAAGTGTATTAATACCTAACAAATGCTCTATGACAGTTAAGTGTAGGTTGTTTTACAGATCAAATTGCACAGCTTTTTGAGAAGAACAACCTTCTGATGAGCTTCAGTCAGTGCCAATGAAGAGAACAATGAAGTGGTGAAAACATTTCCATTATCTATGCCATTAATTTCCAAGATTAATGTTTATTTATTATTAAAAAGCATTCAATTTTACAACAGTTGTTTACAATCTCATATGTATTTATCAGGACAAAGATTATACTATTAATATTTTTAATATTTTTTTTTAATAATATTTAACACTCTGACTCTGAGGACCCTGAAGAAATCATGAGAGTCCCCATGGCAGCTTACAAACTCCTCAGACAACTGAGAAATGATTTGATACATATTGTAGAAAACAACCAACCAAGTCTTCAGTGTGAAGAGCATCACGATGAGTTGAAGGCAATGATCCCACTGCTGGAAGACTTAGATGGTGCAGCTTCAGGACTGATCAGACTGCAAGAGATCTACAAACTCTACCCAGAAGACATCACAAATGGTGAAATATCTGCAATTTTGCAACAATGCAGTTTCACTGAGAGTTTCACTTTTTATTTCCTTCAAAAATTAGCTTCAATCTGTTTTGATTTCACAGGCACGTCTCTAAATGCAGATAAAGCTCACCATGTTGGGTGGGTTGCTTATAACGAGAGAAAATTCCAGCATGCCTTTCTCTGGTTTCTGTACAGTCTCAACACATCAAAAGAATACCCAAGCACTATGGAGGAAGAACTGTTCAACTACCTATACTCATTCAGCCTATTATTTTGGCAGCCTACCTCGAATACTTCATCCAGCAGCCTCTAAATCGTGAAATTGTGGTGTCCTAAAGTTTATTACTAATATTTTTATATTTGAAGTTGCCAGACAGTTGTACCAAATTGTTGTGATTCAAGTCATAAACACGTTTGCCTCAGATCCAACTAATTATGAAGTCAGAGATCAGCTGAAAAGACTCCTTCACTTCCTGAGAACTTCAATCTCTGACATATTCACACTGAACAAAGTGTCAAGTAAATATGAGACACTGTGCCGAGGAGAGGTTGATGAGAGGGCAAGTGCAACATCTAAAAATGAAATCATTATTTGACATGAAATTAAAACAGTCAATGTGAAGCTTTGTGTAATGATTGGACGTTTATTATATTTTTTAAAAATCAGACCTCCAAGAGGCAGAGGGCGCTGTCCTGTAGGTACAGCACAGGTGGAGGAAACCCCAGACTGATGTATGCACCAGTGAGCCTAGCATCATCAGATATCATGACATTATTTCAGATAGAGAGATAGAGTTTCTGAAGAATATCTCCAGACCTCAAGTGATATACTGTATAACACACACATACAAAGACTACAACATTTATTTGCTGTTATTGCCAATATAATTAGTGTCTAATTTCTTGTTGATACTGATTAATTGTGCTATTCAGTGGGCATAATGATGCTTTATTGTGCGATTCAATGGGCAAAAATGTGCACATTCCTTTAAAATGATCAGGTTTGGCCCCGTGGTTCTAGTGAAAACAAATTTCAGTGCTTTGGCATCTAATGACTAGAGAATTGTATGCTTCCAACTTCTCGAAGGTTCATAAAGTAACTATTTAGTATTTACTGTCTGGTGTAGGAAATCTTGCACAGACTCAAACCCCGTTGAAAATCTTCGGCAATACTGTTGGCCCAGGCCAGACTGTTCAACAAGCATACTGTATTTGTGTCATTCAGGTACTTTTGGCCGTAAGGTATATATATATATATATATATATATATATATATTTAATGTTTAAATCTACTGCCCAAAGAAATAGACAGAGATGCAGCCTGTGTTTAATGGATCCTTTCAATTAAACGAAGGGCCCTAGTATCAAAAGTGTCAGCAAAGTGCTTATAGCACCCTCAGGGCAATTGTTGTTTTAATTACCCTCATTCTTAATAAAGGCCAAACCAGGGGGTTTTAATTTGTATCAGTCAAACCTGGAAATCACCATGGATTCCCTCAGGTATTTCTTCATGGTGTGGCATTTATGAAAACAAAAAGCAATCCGCATGCCAATTTCAAACAAGTTTAACGTCCTAGATCTATTGAGAAAATATTTTACTGAACATTTTCATATAAAGTGACAGCAAAATACAAAAGTGCAATAAGAAAAAAGTGACTGTGCACAAAAAGAAGGGAAAAAAAGTGGTTATCCATTCTTAAAGAAACTTTCCTGTTGCCTTTGATCCCTTTTTTATGTCACAAATAATATGCAACTTTTAACTTTCTGAGTGATCAAAATGCTGAGTTTTACATAAAGAGCCAAAATTATGTAATGAATATGCTAATTAGACATTTAGCACATTGTATGTATATATATATATATATATATAATTTGTATTTTTTTCTGGTGTCTTTTCAGTGGCTAATAAATGGATCCGTGAGTTTGGACAGGAGTTCAGGAGACCCTGTTCTTTATCATACTGGGAGTGAAAGACACTGAGACCATGCAAAAATCATATGAAGTTTATCTGTACTATAGAAGTATCTGTTATATTTATTATGTGTCATATTAGTTTTTAGATAGCATCATAGTAGCATGTATTACTGTTTAGGTGCCAGTAATGTTAGTAATATTTAATATGCAATAGTAATATACAATAAAAAATTTCAATAGATTAAAATAAAGTTTTAGCAAGATATAATAATATCACCTGAGTGGATCAGCAGCCAGTAAGGAGTTATTCCTGTAAAAGAGTTGCTATTGCATTCTTTGCAGTTACATTTAAAGCTTAATTTGAAATGTTTTCTTTTCAGTTTGTTCTGGAATGATGATTTACATGTTTTGCAAGTTAAAAATAAAAATGTGTCCTCCCTGTCTGCAAACAGAAGATTCTGCCCCTTTAATCGCTAATGCTAAAATGCCCTTTTGGTCATATCAAGGTGCCCCTGAAACATGATTTCTAGAAGTTCAGAAGTACGAAATTCATATTGTTAGCTTATACTGTACAGGATCTGCAGGGTGTGTGTGTGTGTGTGTGTGTGCGTGTGCGCGTGTGTGTGTATGTACGTATATAAGTTCAATCATGTATCTTCTAGCAATTATATTGCTACACGGCTCAAGCTGATTAGCCTCTGTTGATTTGCTTTCTCAACATTCAAATAGTCAAACCTACAAAATCTGCAATCATCCAGTGAGTGCCAAATTTATTTACTCCAACAAAATGTAAAATCCATAAAGAAAACCATCTTTATTTAACAATGTGTTAGTAGACAGACATTTTATATTTTAGACTCAATTAAAATGTTTTGCAGATAATTACTTTTCAAATTATTCATACGCATGTTCTCTTGTCTCTTTAAGTTGATAGGGTCAAATATATAAAGTGCTTTGCTCTCAACCTGCCAATAAGGATTTATAAACTTACAAACAACAACAAAAAAAGATAATTATATTAAACCCAATAATAGTACTAAAACGTTTACTGCATGGTCTCAGGAAATATTTTTATGTTGTCTTGGTTGTCATGGTTTTTGTCTTGTGGTCCACTTTTAATCCTCTCTTGTAATCCCATGACTCTGTTGAGAGGCCACTCTGTGCTGCTTCTGACTGGCCAGTTTAAAGTCTGTGTGAACTGAAGGACGGAGTTGAAAGGTGACAGGCGGGAGAGCTCTGATAGATTAGTTCCTGAGGGAGGTGGGCCAGAAAAGAGGGGAAACTGCTTTTGGATTGGATGTGTCTGGGGAAAGGGGAGAGGTTTGGGGAAGCTGTACGGCAGGAAAAGGGGATGAGAAATTGACTGAACAGCTGTCCACAGACAACATGCACACAGAGAAAAATAATGTCAATGTTAAAAACGGAATCAAATTTTCAGTGCTGTTTGCTCAAATCAGTGATGACAATTCAAATAAACAATATTTCGTTGTTCAAAGGTCAGCAATGACACTTACCCCTGTCAATAGAAGGCTGGTAGAAGGAAAGCTGAGAAGGAAAGGCAGAGAAAGGGACAGATGTTGTATTCTGAAAAATAGAATGAGATAAAAATAACAGTTATTATAATATACTCAAAATTGCAGCTATGCAATAAAACATTTAAAGTGCCCCTATTATGGATTTTTGAAAATGATCTTTCATGAAGTGTGTAACACAGCTCTAAGTGAATGAAAACATCCTGCAAAGTTTTAAATCTGAAAGTGCACCATGTATAAAGTTATTGTCTCTCAAATTAAAGAGTCGACTCTGAACCATTGAAACGAGTCGTTTTTAAAACGAATCCCAAGCCGTTTCATGTTGTCTCTCAAATTAAAGAGTCGACTCTGAACCATTGAAACGAGTCGTTTTTAAAACGAGTCGTTTTTAAAACGAATCCCAAGCCGTTTCATGTTGAGGTCAACATGAAACGTTGGGGACTCCCAAAACCAAAATATGAACCATTCATAACCCATAATAGGGGCACTTTAAAAACACTTTCACGTACCTGTGGGCAGGTTGGAAGACTTGGGTAATTCACTAAGATTAGTTTACTGAAGTTAAACTTGTAGGTGAAACGTTTTCCTTTGGTCTTGTGCAAAATTCGCTTATTATAATAATACCTAAGAAAAAAAAAACAGATGTCAAACACCTAGTCAGTCAACTGATAAAATATCATAAAAATTATGCATTTGTTTCTGTATTTTTGTATGTATGAAAATGCGTTGCATATATTTATATGTAAATATGTATATGTATTTTATATATATATATATATATACAGTGTGTGCATAACTAGGCACGTTGATATTCTGATCATATTTTTTTCCAAGCACATTTAGGTTTTGGGAGTTCATTTTTACTCAATCTCCTATCCTCCTATATAAAGTCTGTCTTGCAGAGATTGACTAAAAATGAGCTCTTAACTTATCTGGCTATTAAGCCTATAAAAAATTAGTCCACAACACTTCACAACACTTAAGCATGTTATTCTTATTAAGTGAGGGTCACCTGACACCTTGCACTTCTGGAGACTCCAGGTTGGTTGCAGTTTTGGAAAATGGTGGCGCTGGAGACTAAATGCTTCCTGATGGCTTTACACCTAATTCTTCACATTAATTCTTAATTCTTTTGCAGTTAAAATGTGTCTTTTCTTCTCCACCTGTTTTTTCTGACCCCGCTGACCCAATGAGCATTTCGCTGTCCACTGGTCATGTCTTAACTTTGCAATTTCTGTATTGCATTAGTTTTGAATATTTTCTCATGGGGATTTAATAATTTTGGACTTTTCAGTCTGAGTCAAATCTCTTTTTTGGCTCATTTTATCTGTAAAAGAAAACCTGCCTAATAGTTCTGCACACCTGAATAGAAGGAATTTTTCACTTCCAGCCTTCATGGACAATTATATATCACTTATAAATGATTAAATACAAAATTAATAGTAGTTATTAAGATTAATTTGGTTTGGAATTGGTAAAATGTGCTTGGAAAAAAATATGATCAGAATATCAACTTGTCTAATAATTATGCACGCACTGTATAGTAAACAAATAAGTCATGAAATTCATTATAACATTATTTATTATAAAATACATATTATAACATAACATTTATTAATCCTAAAGCTGAATTTGTTACTATAGATATCCTGTTAACATACTTTAGGTGTATGTATCTTTGTGGTACATATATCAATATGTTTTCATATAACAGCTTTTCTATGTGTTTTTTCTCTATAAACCTGGAGAGAAGTAGGACAGTCATGCAAACTTACAATACTATAATATATTATTCTTTAAATAGGCCTAATATATCTCAATATTATAGCAAGTATACATCTCAATATATAATTTTATATATATGGATGTCAGTGCATGTACCTTAAAGCTCTGCTGAGTTTGTCGTAATTCATGTGCGGCTTGCCCTTCCTCTCCCCCCACAGTTTAGCCAATCTCTCTGGGTCTCTGATCACAAACTCTCCCCATTCGCTGCCCCACGTGATCGCTCCGCCTTCGCCACGCCCCAACAGCTCCAACAGGAAGTGCCATAACTGCACCTGCCGCGAGCCTGGAGACCACGCTGGTTTATACGCCCAATCAGGGAACAGCACTGCTGAGGGAAACAAGAACGCAAGCTTAATTAGCGCTGCTTAAAAGATAGAAACAGTAATTAGGAAGAAGTCAGTCAAAATGGTTGACGGGAATGACACACCAAAGCTTCCAATGCAAAATGTTTCGAACTGTAACCTAGATATTTTCCCGCACATCGTGTGCAAGGATGTTTCTGGACATTCAGTAGCCTAGCCTGTTATTTTCTTGCACTCAGCCAACCAACCAAAATAAACAATTCAGATTCATATCCTATAATACGCCTACTGTTCACCAAAAACGTTAATGTGATCTCCTTTAGTTTTAAAGTAGGCTGTAATTTGGCAAATATCCTTTCATAAGACGGTTGGTGAAGAAGAGACATGCATTTTTTTTTTTTGTCATGATAACGGATTAATTCTGTAGTTAAATTTAATCAAATTTTTTCGTTCTCCAAACCAGACTTGTGTCTTATTATATGCATATACTTTTTGCTTTGGTGCATTTCTCAGCATGCGTTTCTAGGTCAAAAGATAGAGCAAGTGGTATGCAATATAGCTAAGAAACAATGCAGTTATGCAATTGAATATATGGAATTAGAAATGTTTAACAATCAAATCCGGCTGTGCACTGCTCAAACACACACACACAAACAAACATATTCACTTACTTCTGCTCCAGTAAGTCGAGGGAAAAGGACCCAGAGAGGAATTACAATTACACTCCATCTGTAAGATATTAATATCTTCTTCATCTTCTTCATCATCTGAACTCAGAGAATAAAAATGATGCTTCTTTATTCCCTGAGTTCAGTTAAATCATTGCGTCAAAATAAGAAGCAATTCGATTGTTTGGAATCTCATTACTTCCAGCAGAGTTTCAGTTTTTGTCACTGCAGGACTGTTTTCGCGGGTTTGGCTAAATATCGCAACAAAAAAAAATTTAGATTATTGACCTATGAGATGCTTTTCAGTGTAATTCTATCTGTTGTTTTGTTATATATTTTGTATGCGGCCGATAATGTCAGACTTTCAAAGATTTCAGAATGTAAAAATAAATAAATAATTTTGAGAATGAGCTATTGTAGGCTACGTCTCCATCAAATGCGTCAAAACTTTTAGCCTATACGTCTATGACCGTTTGTTCCGTTTTTAAATAAATATTAAAATCAAATTATTTACATTTTTTTATTTAGACATTGTAAATTCTTTCTTTAAAACATTATACTACTATACTTTAAAACAAAAATATGATATGAAATCACTAAATAAGCACTAATATAAAAAAAAGAGGAAAATCTGTTAAAAATTCTACATTTAAATTTGGTTAAATCAAGGTATCAATAGGCCTAATTAATGACTGCTACCAACAAAAACTGCACTAAAACTCAAACAGTATAATGGGAACTACAGACCTAATTAATCATTTGTATGATCATATGTAAGATCCTGTTAAAGAGAGCTGTTACCTGTTCACTGGAGATGCGCTTTTCTTGAAGAATGATCAGAAGAAAGACACCTGTAACCTCCCACTCTCTATTTATCTTTACCTCTATCCCTTTCTCGCATTTACTGTATTACTGAGATCCTCCCTGATCTCTCCTTCTCTCTACCTCTCTCTCCCAATCCAAACTGACATAGGTGATATCCAAGCTTTCCTTATTGAGGAGGATGTTTTGTATTGGATGTGATTTTGCCTGGTTTAACACACAAGGAGAGAGAGAGAGAGATCTTAGCTAACATTTAGCTAGGTAAAATTAGCTAACTATATAAATTAATTGATGTAATACAGTAGCCTACATTATAACCAATATAAAAATGTGTGTATGTAAAACAATAAAATATAGAACTACTTGTTTTATTGTTACATTTAACTTCCCCCCCCCAAAAAAAGATATAATATATAAAATAAGATGAAAATATAATGTAATATACTATTATAATACATAACATTTAAGCTTTATAAGACCCTAAATGTTTATTTATTATATATTTGTCTCACATCAAAACAAAATCACATCTTAATACAATTTAATACACATTAACACATAATTATTTTATATAAATACTTTAACGATAAAATTGCATGCAAATTGTTCTCAGTTTCTCTAAAAATCTGGTAAAACTTGGAACTCAAACTAAAGCAGCATTTTCACTAAAGGTGAAATGAATTAAGAGATGAAAGATGATTTCATATCTTTCTGTCTGTCTACACACACACACACACACACACACACACTGCAGTGTGACAGGTCACACCGGAGGCTTTTAATTCCAGTGTACACACAAATTCTGGTCCAGACAGACATCAATAATTCATGCTGTTAATTGAGTTGAATGTTATGCTTTTAGCTGTAGAGGACTGTAGGTCATGAGACCTCTGACATTATGGGTACAGTATAGTTATATACAAAATCACAAAGTGCAAATGCACTTTAAAAAAAAACTTTTAAAAAAAAACCTTTACAACTTCTTTGCATCGTCCATCACTCTAATTTAGCATTTTGAATTTAACTCACGTAAATTTTCTCGCATCTGAACTGTGTGTGTGTGGGAGGATTAGATGGTCTAAATGAATTGTTTGTTTTAAAGTGGACAGTGCAAAAGCTACTTATACCCCTTCCTCATCAGTTCATCTTATCTTTTCATTCTCATCTCCTCTCCCTTCTCATCCATTCTTCCCAGATCTCCCTCTATCCTTCTTACAGCTGCTTATTGCTGTTCACGCTGAGAGCCGAGAGGAGGAGATTTGCAGATCTGATAGTGTGAGTGTATGCGCTTAACAGGCGTGACATAGACTCCGTGTGTGTGTGTGTGTGTGTGTGTGCATAAGGTCACAGGGCTCATCTTTAAGGATGAATCCTGTTATACGTTAGGAGGATAAAAGGCTCTTGTGTGTTTGTGCAAGCTCAGTAATCTCAGATCGGGTTGACTCCATTAGGAACTCACTCTCTCCCCTGAGACACAACAGAGAAAAAGAGAGCTTCTTATCACTGAACTAAATATTTGTTTATAATTCAGCTTTATTTTCATTTACATATTTTAAGAGTAAATGCTTTTATTAAAATTAATTTATATTTTCTTAGTGATTACGTTTATTGGACTGTTTTAACGACTTTTTATATTACTTCATTTAATGCATTATTCATATATTATATATATTTAATGCATATATTTTATATCACTAGAGACTGCAAATGCCTTGGCTTATTGTTTAAAAGCATATTAGATTAGAATAGAATTTAAACAAATTAATCTGCCTTGGCACCGTTTCTTATCCTTGCACTTTTAATGTATTATTGGAATAAAGTATCATTTTCATTTTTATCCTTTCATCTTGTTTTATATTACTTATTTTGAAATTCAATGGCAATATACAGATTTTTTTTTTTAAGTTTTCACAATTACAAAGAAAGCACTAGTAACACATTAAACAGGATATTTTTAGTAGAAAAAAATGAAATAGTATTTTCTTGTAAATCTTCAATGTTTTATTTACAACGTTGCAAAATTTACAGTGTAGTTTTAGTAATTTAGTAACAGTAATTTTTTTCTTTTACCGTAGTTATAAATTAAAAATTGACGTTACTTTCTTATTTTCCCCCCTTAGTTTTGCATTATATATGTAAAATTATTTGTCTTAGTTATTTCTGCATTATTTATTCACATTCACAATTAATTGTAGAGATGCTTAATTGTCATTTTATTTACATTTTAAATTTAATAAATATTAATTTATTAATATTACCCGTTTCCTCCATTTACATTATTAAGATTTTCACTATTCAGTTATGCCAATAAAACAAGAGAAAGAAGTCTTCTCTTAATGACAAAAAAAAAAACTAATTAATTTTCACGACTTCCTTTTTCGGAGAATATATGTCATCTTCCCAGATAGCTCTGCAGAATACTTTAATTTAATTTGCTGTTTAAATTGTTTCTTAACAACTGGACTATTGGTAATTTTACTTTACCTAAGCCACATACTATTTGTAGTTTTTCTTATGGCAATTAAGCACACTAACTTGAACTAAACATACCTAGAATTAGCACAAGAGAGGAGACGTATACAACCTTGTGTGTGCCTATTATGAATCAGGTCTGTTTCACAGAGGTCTCATTCTCAGATCTCTGCTTGCAGACTTTTTTGTGGTCAATCTCTGACTCACCTCCAGAAGACTGAACCTCACTCTATCTGTGTGTGTCCCCAGAACTCTGCTCTTTCTCTTCCATTACTGCTGACAAATCTCTCTCTCTCTGCCTGGCTCAGGGGAGTTGTGGTTTCTAAAAGGTTTCTGTATGTTTCCCATGCCTCTATCAGTCTGTGTCGAGGAAAATAATATATCCGCCCGAAACAAGAGACAAATGGCCAGAGACATTGAGAGGAAGAGTGCCAAAACTACTGCAGCAAGTGAATCACACACAAACCTTCACAAAAATGAGACGCAACACAAGTGTTTTCACTGTTTTATAACTTCATCATCATTTTAATTATGTGTACTCTTAATCTCATATGTAAACAAATTCAGAGGAGACCTCCACCACTGGCCTTCTGCTCTATATAAATAACATCCTGACCTCTTGTTTGGGATTCCAGATGTCCAGACCTCACATTTTCTCTTATGGACAGAATACAGATTCTGATTCTGAATTCCAGATTTGCAGTTAGGACCATATGCATTTAGCATATTTATGAGGAATATAATGCAAGAACATTGGTGATCAGCAATGAGAACATCTCAATTGTGTTTTCCTATCTTTACAAGCACAAACCCACACAGACTCTGAATTCTGACAGAGAAAAACAATCTTGGGAGTCTAGAATCCAAATCTAGTGTCTGATTAATCTCATTAGTATCACTTAATCAGGGTTCGAACATAATCAAACTTACAGTACCTGAAAATGACGATTGACTTCACATGAACATGAGAAGAAAGGTAAATGACCCTTTTGATAAAGTCCATGAAACACAGCTGACCTTCCTCACTTTTTTTTCTGCTTTCCGAAGGTACGCGTGGCTGTAATCTCGATATTCGTTCCAGTCAAAACATTATCAGTAGTGATTTTTCAGTAGTGATTTTGCAAATTAAATAAAAACATAAAAAAGGAATCACAGCGTGTTAGAGCTACAGTGCAACTGTTCAGTCATTCATGAAATAAACAACAAATATTTACAAGCAAAATTCACAATTATAAAAAAATACTGTTCTTAACATTCACAACTAAAGGAAAAGAGGGAGAAAGAGTGTGTTTGAGCGCAATTATACACTTGAAGTGTTTATGAAAAATCAGTTACACAATGGTTTTGCGCATTTGTTAATCATGTTCTGGTCCAAATGATTTGAATTAGCAGTGTTTGTACAGAGAAACAGGCAATGTGACGGAACATACAGGTGTGTGTGTGTGGTTTTGGAACACCCTCTAGTGGAGATCAACCTGTACTTCCTCTCTTTGTAAGGCTTCTGAGCTTATTTGGACACTAGAGAGGCAGCTAATGTTGTGCTGAAGGTTTGAATGCGGTTGAATTGGAATCTTTTCTGTAATGTAGCGTAGTTCATTTAAGATGTACATAGAGTTATGCGTGTTTGAGAGCATGTGGCTTATTCTTTATATGTGTGTAAATGGTTAAAACTGAGGGAGCATTTGGAATCATAACCTCGCGTTTGCATGTAACCATGAGTAACAAGTCCGTTTATATTCACGGATGAAAACACATCCAAAGAAAGCT